ACCACGACCTCACCAAGGCACAGGCAGAGGACATCGAGGGCCAGCTGCAGGGCGTGCTAGATGAGGAGATCTTCTCGCCCAGCACGTCAAGCGCACCCGTCGCTGCGCCACAGTTTAGGGGCAAGGCCTTCTACAGTGAGCCCTCACTGTGGAGCCCCTAAGATGTGGTGCAACGACGAATATGCCCTACAGTGGCTTCGCCGATCCCTGGTAAGGATCCCATCACCACGTGAAGGCACCAAACTGGTCGTCAGGAGGCAGTCTGAGATCCCGAAAAGGATCAAGGCTGGACTCCTGGTACCATAAATCGGACCAGATGTTACACTGGTCCGTATACAAACAAGGCTAAAGTACCAGAATAGCCAGTACAATGTGGCCAACTGGGCCCTCTACCATGCCGAGGCGCAAAAGGAAAAGAAATGTCTCTTCCTAGTGCTCGGCATCCCAGAAGAGGACGTCGTGAAGCTCAAGGCTAGCGAGCGTAGAGTATACTACAAACTGGGTAACCTCTACGTTCGCTTCCTTGATGAACGTCCCGCCCCACCAACTAACCCTGACGAGGAGCCAGAATCGGCCCAACAAACGCAGCCTAGGAAATCTCAGACTTCCCAAGCTATTTGGAACACAACTTACTCTTACCAAAGAGGTCAAATACCTAGGAGTAATACTGGACAGTAAACTCCTGTGGAACAAGCACCTCGATGAAAAACTGAATAAAGCCTGCATTATTTTCTGCCAATGCAAGCGGCTACTCGGCAAAAGCTGGGGACTATCACCCAAAATCACTTTATGGCTATACAGGACAGTCATAAGACCAATAATCACTTACGGTGCTGTGGTCTGGTGGCAGAGAACAGAGCTAACCACCGTCATAAACAAACTGCAGCAATTCCAGCGACTCCCATGCTCCGCGGTCATTGGCTGTATGCGTACAACGCCTACTGCCGCACTGGAGGTGGCTCTTGGTCTGCCACCCCTGGATCTATTCATACTGCAGGAGGCCGCCATGGCGATCATTAGACTCAAACACCTGGGTCTATGGCACAAACGTGAGGGATCACACTCTAAATTATGGGATCAATTGGTGGAATACGAACCACTGATAGCAGCTCCATGCGATAGAATCCCAAAACACCATATCTTCACAAGAAGATACTACATCCAGATACATGGAAATGACCGAGGTCAATCCGGCATTAACGAAGTCCAAATTTACACGGACGGTTCCAAGACTAGGTCAGGAACTGGAGCCGGAGTTTTCTCGCAAGACCTAAATATAAACATATCACTAGCGTTAGGCCAACACAGTTCCATATTTCAATGTGAATGTGTGGCAATAACTTACGCTGCCACAACGGCCATGTCAAGGGGTATCAAGGACTACAACATCCGAATAATATCTGACAGCATGGCCGTCTTAAAGGCATTGGAGGGCAACACAATGACCTCTGGTATTGTCTTCGAATGCCACCAAGCACTGGAACAGCTCGCTATATTCAATGGGGTAATCCTCCAATAGATTAAAGGGCACAGTAACTCACACGGGAATGATGCCGCCGATGAGTTGGCAAGGAGGGGCTCGGCAACCCCAACCTCTGGCCCAACCCCACTCCTGCCCATATCGTTTAACCAAATACGATGCTGGGTCAGGCAACGGACCTGTGAAGCACACAACCGGAGGTGGAAAAACTCACCCGGCTGCAGACAGTCCAAACTGGTGGTGAATCAAGTCACACCACGACTCACCTGCAGACTGATCAGTCTTAGCAGACCGGAAATCAGAATGGTTGTCGGAACTATTACAGGACATCTAGCCCTGAACCGACAACTATTCATAATCAATGCGACGGACAGTCCCCTGTGCAGGGGATGTTTGGAAGCTGAAGAAACGGCCGTCCACGTAGTCCTGGAATGCGAGGGAGTGGCCACACAACGGGCAAGTACCTTTCCTGATATAAAGTCGCTCCTAGAAGCCTGTGAACACCCCAGGAGGCTTCTGCGCTTCTGGAAGGAGCTTGGCTGGCTCACCTAGTCAACCAATCCTCGACGCATAAAGGACCACTCTGAGTCTAAATGCGGAAACCGAAGCCCACAACCAATACCAATACCAATACTACTGTGATAATTAAGGATGTCGGGCTGGACCTTGTGGACACTACGACATTTTTAGGTATAACACTAGATTCTAAGCTACGGTGGGACCCACATAATGATAAATTGTCGAGTAGACTCAGCTCAGCAGCATACGCAGTAAGGAACATCCGACAGTTGACTGATGTTGATACAGCACGACTTGTTTACTTCAGTTACTTTCATAGCATAATGTCGTACGGTATTCTGCTGTGAGGGAATGCTGCCGACATTCAAACTATTTTTGAGCGTAACATATAGCAGTGGGAGAGTCACAAAGTTCCAACAAGAAAACACATGACCTTGATTTTTATTTTTAATTTTGAAGCTCGTTATCGTTATAAAAGATCGTTATCATTTGGAGTAGAAAATTCTCAGGTCGGTCTCTCAGGTCAATTCTCTGAGTGTAGACAAAGGCAACAGCTTGGGCGTCGTACCTTCTCCCAATTTGGATGAGCGTGCGCAGGTACAAAACTATACATACATATATATATATATACATAACATAGGTACTTAGTCGGGGTGCAATACATTTATTTTACTATAAGTTGACTACTAACTTGTGTACTACTACTAACTTGTGTTACTTCACGGGTTAGAAACCCGTGAAGTAACACAAGTTAGTGGTACCAATAAAACATCGTCCAAGAAAAATGGTCAAGCCAAGTGCAAAAAAGGTACTGTACTTTGTATTTTATTTTTGCTCGATTATGATTTATTTATAATAGTTTATCGACGACAGTAATTCACTGTCTTATTGAAGTATTTAAATAAGTAATAGGTAAAAACACATTAACATAATTTAATTTAAATACATGAATTTTGCAAAAAAAAGATAACGTTTTGTAGCGTTTTACCATTTTAAATATCAAATCAAATCTAAAAAGTGTGACATCTCGAAATATTTCTAAAAATAAATGAAGTATTCTCCAATAATACGTATTTTTTTATAAATTATTGTATATATTCATTTCAGGAATTGGAGAAGCCGACCAGAAGCGCACCAGGTCGTGTCGATATCGTGGTTGCCCGATAGGGAAAAACCGGGTGCCGTTAACAAGTGTTAGTAAATATTGTGTATACTAACATTAATTCTAGGTATAGTATGTTTTATAACTTTTATTTAATTGAGTGTTCTGTTTGAACTTCCAGCTCCCAATGCTTTCTGCGAGCGGGAGCGACGCAATGAGTTGGCTGCGGCCCTCTCCGTTGACTTGAACGTAAGTTGATTTAACATTCAATTCAAGAATGCTTTAACTAAGACATAATTGGAAATTAACTATCATTTCCTTTTTGTTCTAGATCCCACAAACAGAGCTGCTGGCTACAGCTCTGTGTTTCCTAAAGGAGAGGACAGAAAAACCAGCAACCATCGAATCCGAAGAAATCGCGAGGCAGAATGCGACGTTGGAGTGGCAAGGTTGATATTATTGTACTTTGTATCATTTTGTCCAATAATAATATAATATATATCTCACATACTCACACACGGCCGTCTGATCCCAAACTAGGCAGGGCCTGTACTATGGTAACCAGACCGCTGATAAACATACTTATATATTTCTAAATACATACATATTATAGAAAAATTACACCCAGACACAGAACAAATGACCGTACTCATCATACAATATTTGTCCTGGAAATCGAACCCACAACCTCCGGCGTAGCAGTCAGGGCCACTAACCACTAGACCATCAGGCCCATCATCATAAGCAGGCATTGTCGTCAACTGCTAAACGAAGACCTCCCCCAAGGAGCGCCAACAATCCCGGTCTGGGGCAATCCGCATCCATCTGCTGCCAGCCATTTTCCTCAAATACTAGGCATGCCTTTTAAGTTCTGTCGTTTCCATATTTCCCGGCAATTTTGAATTTCGAACTGTTCTATATTCGAATGTGTTTAAATTTTGAATCTCAAAACAGTTGAAAGTATTAGGATTAATGCTATTGTTTAGTCACAGCGTCGATTGTAATCTGTCAGGTTACAAATGAAAATGAATCTTTCTAAGGAAAATGTTCGTGCAATATTTTTTTACAACTTTAGAAGAGGCATGACACGTCTTCAGTGTTTTAAAGAGCTAATATCAGTGTTTCGTGATGAAGCCCCATGTCTGCGGACTGTCGAACGCTGGTATTTAGAATTCCAGCGTGGACATACCAGTGTTAGTGACCAATCCCGCGAAGGACGCCCAAAATCCGCCTTAGTAGACATTACACTTATATGGATTATGAATCATTTTGATATTTTTCTGTAGTTTTTAAATAAGATTGAATATTTGTGATTCGTCTCAGCGGCAGACAGGTACATTATACGTAAATATCTCTAACTCACTTTTCTGTGATGAAAGCCCGAGTCGATTACTGGGCAGGTTATAAGGTTCCGGGTGGCTACTAAACCTTTCTAAATAAACATATTTATATATCTCTAAATAAGCATATTTCATAGGTAAATTATGCTTAAATACAGAACAAATGATTGTGTAAATCACAGGGTAATTATCATGAGTGGAAATCAAATCTACGACCTTGGATATTTAGTAAATTTTATTTAATCAATACATTATTTGACTGAGCATATTCTCACTAGTTAGTAGTAGGTAGTAGATAAGGATTTAGTGATATTCTCACGAAGATAACAAAAGCTATGGTGAATCTCGTTCGTCATTGAAGTGATTCACATCACACATCACATCAACAGCCTTTAATAGTCCACTGCTGGACATAGGCCTCCTTGAAGTGATTAGCTCTAACATATCTACATATAAATTGTCTAACGTCACACAACTCACAGGTGGTTCTCGTTAAAATGATGCCTAATGTAAAATGAAAATCTCGTTAAAATGATGTCATTCGCTGACACTTACCAAAATGATTACGAAAATAACACCTAACTTTCTTATTCCAATCTCAGTCACACGCCTCATAGATATGTCGACTCCACTCATTTACAGCACCCATTTTTACGACTGTTTAATTTCCTCCAAAGAGTGAGATGCAGTTGAAGTGAGAAACATTATTTTTAACATTGTCTCAAAAATAATGTTTCTCTTTCATTTCCAGGTCTGCAGTCACAAGTTCTACATTCGACTTTCATCATGCGCGCTTGCTTCCTATTGAATACAAATATAGTAGTAGAAATGATTCACTGTCATCAGATAGTAGTTTCAATCAAAATAGTCCTGAATATCCTCAGAGCATATCAGATATTAGTTCAGATGATGATAGTTCAAATAAGGAGAACATTTCTAAAATCAAAAAAGATGATAAGACTGAAAATGTAGATTTAAAAGAGAAGACTAGTGCAAATCGGAGTGTAAAACCCCCTGTACGATCGAATTTTAAAACTTTCATCTCCGAAAGGTGATAGTGTTAAGAACAAAAGTCTTACCCTTGCTTATTATGAAATGAAAAACAACAACAGCAGAAATAAAAGGAAAGCCGTGAATAGTCGTGTTGCAGAAGAAGCACCAAAAAACGAAAAAGTACCGGCAAATATAGGCACCCTAAAACTAAGAAGAGATCTTTTGACGATGAACTTAACCAGTGTATGGAATTAGCAAGACGGAACCAACGACAAAAAGAAAGAAAATTAATCTCCAGGAGTAAATGAAGAAGAGGTGTTCTTTCCAATACTAGCTCTGTACAAATAAGTTCCGAGACAATAATAATATTTATTTATAATTAGACGAATCTGACAAGTATCCTATAACACAAACAACACCTAATAGATTAGCAAGTTTTTTTTTTTAATAATGTATGTAGTAGTGACACTCTATATTCGTGTGGTGTGCGGCGAAAAATCCTTATCACTAATATAATGGCGAATGGACAGCAATTCTTATTAAATCAATTACCATACAAGTTTGTTTATACTACTGAACAACACTGGCGCATTGTTTGCGCGACACAAAACTAAGGGCGGAACTCCTGTAGATACTTACATATATTGTTCCTGTTTAAAAAAAAAATTGAAATTTACCAATTCTCATTGTAAAAACTAGTAAGGCTTGCCTTAGAGCAGTAACAAAGGAAATATTGCTTGGACAACTTTACTAAATATTCGTTGTTTTTAAACGGTCATTATGGCGTTTAAGCCTGTTGAGTGGTTTGCCTGCAAATTTGGTTGCAGTGGACAAAAGCTGGTTGGGTCGATGGACTATAGATGGTTTTCTTTACTTACTCGTACTTTAGGTTACTCTGGCAAGTGCCACGCCCACCGGCCACTGGCCGCTCTGCCCTAGCAATCAAAATCCTAGATTATTTTTATATATTTCGTCAGGTTTAGCTAGCGTTTGCAATGAAAACGCAAAAAACAAAACATATCACATCATCACACATCAATAATCTTTAATTTAATTTTTAATTTTTTTTTAATTTTATTATCGCTCATTAAAGATTTTATTTGAAAATTTATAAGTTTAGGTATCCTACTCCTAATTATATTTTCGTCTCTCTTCCTGCTCGCTTCAGCCTTTTGTTTTCTAAAATTTATAAAAAAAATCTAGAAGCCTCCTTAATTGGATCAAAGAATTTTTGCTTGCTTTTCAGCCCTTCGGATTGGTTCAATAACTCGTATGACTTCGATTCCTCGACTTAGCATGTCAGAAAATATCGCCTAGGAACTTATTTGCGCAGGTCTAGTATTGGAAGGAACACCTCTTCTTAATTTAAACTCCTGGAGATTAAATTTCCTTTTCATTGCCGGTGGTTGTGTCTTTATTGTTGCTGTTTCCATATATTGGTTAAGGTCATCGTCGAAATATCTTTTCTCGGTTTTGGGTTCCATAGGTTTCGGTGTGTCATTTTTTTATCCGTTCTTAGCTCTTCTTTGGCAACTGCAGAACTAGCAATATTCACAGATTTCCTTTTATTTCAATCTTTTTTTTTTGGAATTTTGGCACTTTGCCCTTCTGTGTTTATTTTGATACCATCCCTTTTTGTGTTCTATTGAGATTATTTCTTTATCTCGTTTTTCTGTTTGGATAGATGCTTCCATACATTTGTTAAGTTTATCGTCGAAAGGATTGTTCACAGCTTTTGTTTTGAATGCTTTAGGTATCTGCAGTGTTTTTTTATTTTCTTTCTGATCACACAATTTAGTAGAATTTCAGATTGGTGCCTAATTATCATTTTAGGGATACCTTTACAATTTTGATTACAATCATCACTCGCTTTACAAGCACTTTTTAGATACTTTCTCCCCAGTTTCTTCGTCACTACCGTCTTGGGAAACAATTGTTTTGCTTTTACACGACCTATATCTAAAACGTAACATTTTGTTGTTACTGGAAAACACTTCTGTATTTTAATAAACTCTGCCCTTTCTTTAGGTCACTATGCCGCTTTTCATGCGAGCTGTGGTCATGGTTAGATATGTTTTCTTTACTATCTTTAACATTAACGACCGGTTCTGACCGTTTCTAAGTCTTGACTTTTCGTTGGCTTCAAATTGTTCTAATAATGAATTTAAATATTTAGACTCCAAAACAGGAATCTGAACATCTTTACAACTCTATCTTCACAAGGTTATCTAACTTAATTGATGGCTCTTTTACTGCAGCTATGGCTTCAAATTGTTCTTTAATAGCTTTGATTTTGTTTTTCATTTGTGTAGAACAGACGTGATGAGTTGCTTCAACGTCCATATCCTGGGGATTTGAATCATCTTGTTTGACGGGTACACTGCCAACATTGCAATACTTATACAATATGAAGTTGTTTAGCTCTTCATCAGTCAAAAAGCTAAGTATGTAATCGCTTGATGTTGCATCCGTCGTACCGTTAAGCACACATCTTTTTAAATCTTCATTGTTTTGTAAAAGTTCAAAATCGGACTCTGTAACTAATATGTCTGTAACATTTAGTACGTATTGGTAATCAGTTGAAATTAGGACTGGTGACTGCATGTCTGGAAATAAAAGAGAAACATTATTTTTGTGACAATGGCAAAAATATCGATACGTGTGTTATAGGCACGTAGTTAAACAGATGACAGATAGTCATGAAAACAGGTCTTAAATTAGTGGAATCGACAGAGTAGTGGGTTTTTGGAGTGTTACGAACTGATAACTGCTTAAGCGGTGTATAAACTAAAGAGGTTTAGGTATAATTAATTAACCAAAAAAATACTATACATAAAAATTTTAATGGTAAATTAACGCTTTTAAAGGAATACCCAGTCAACCTTAGAGCGATACAGAGATGCAAAGAAATTTAAAATATGATTTTATGAAAAATATAGCATACTACGATATCACATACCCATTCAGTTTACTGTGAGCTAAGTGAGGGGGGGGGGGGTGGCTAGAGGGTGCGCACAGGGCAGTGTACTCTCCCACCTCCCCAGCTTCTGTGGAATATTGTTGTGGATGAATTAATCACACAACTCAACGACCGTAGATTCCCCACAATAGGCTTTGCAGACGATCTGACTATCCTCATCAGTGGTCCTTTTGAGAGCGTTATATGCGATCAAATGAGACCCGCACTGAAGATCGTTGAACAGTGGCGTTTGACACATAACTTAACAGTGAACCCATCGAAAACAGAGATGATCATGTGCACCAACAAACGTAGTTTAGAAAATCTCAAACTTCGTAAACTTTTTTAAACACAACTAACTCTTACCAAAGAGGTCAAAAACCTAGGACTTATACTAGACCGTAAACTCTTGTGGAATAGGCACCTCGAAGAGAAACTAAACAAAGGCTGCATCGTCTTCTGCCCATGCAAACAGCCACTCGGAAAAATCCGGGGACTATCACCAAAGGTTACACTATGGCTCTACAAAACAGTCATACGACGAATTATCACGCACGGTGCCGTTGTCTGGTGGCAGAGAACAGAGTTACACACCATCATCAATTCCATCGACTCCCATGCACAGACAGCATGGCCGTCCTAAAGACACTGGATGGCAACACAATGACAACATCAAGCATTGGAGCAGCTTGCCACAACAAATGGGGTGCTCCTCCAATGGATTAAAGGGCATAGTGAATGACACGGGAATGACGCTGCACATAAGTTGGCAAGGAGGGGTTCGGCAACCCCGGCGCCGTCCCAACCACACTCCTGCCATTGCCTTTTAACCAACTTCGATCCTGGGTTAGACAGCGTACTCGTGAAGTGCACAACCGAAGGTGGAAAAATGCACCCGGCTGCAGACAGTCCAAAATGGTGCTGACTGAAGTCTCACCACGACATACTTGCAAACTGATCGGTCTTAACAGACTAGATATCCGAATAGTTGCAGGAACAATAACAGTACACCTAGCCATGAACCGACAACTATTCATCATTAATGCGACGGAGAGTCCTCTTTGCAGAGGAAACCTAAAAGCAGAATAAACGGCCGACCACGTAATCCTGGAATGCGACAGAGTGACCTCACAACAGGCAAGTACCATACCTGGTACAAAATCGCTCCAAGAAAGAGAAAGCCCCAGGAGGCTTCTGCGCTTCTGGAAGGAGCTTGGTTGGCTCACCTAGCCAACCTCTTCTAGACGCATAAAGGACCACTCTTGAGCCTAAATGCAGAAATCAGAGCCCACGACCAATACCAATACCAAAATTGTGGATGCAAAAAGTCGTTAAGTTTTTAAAGAAAGTTGTTATAAGTTTATTTCGTCAAATAAACTATAATTATATGGTTAGACGGTACCACATTTAGACGGTATATTCGAATGTTTCATAAGTTGTATTTATCAATATAATTTTCTTTGCGAAATATTGTATATGTAGGTTTATAAAGTTTAATATATTTATTGATAGATAAAATATATTTATGAACATTGATAACGGGTGTAACCTTGCAAGAGTTCTGCACCACCCTAAGGTTGGTGGTAGAGAATCCCTGAAAGCACTAAGCCCGCCGATGTACATAAGTGCCTACAGATGTAAAATTTATAAATATTTTTTTAGACTGCCCTATATCGTAAACATATATAGGGTATACTACATACGAGTATATATGACAAAAACCAATATTTTGATTTAGGAGGCGTGAAATTTTAAAGTGAAAACAAATATTAATGTGGAGTTATGATTACCAAGAGATCAATTAGTCATCGATATAATTTGCTAATGATGGTGATTTATGATATTATTACTAGTCAGTGATCTTGGGCGAGATAGCATGGTAAAAAATTCTGTATTTAAACCAAGTCTGAAATAGAAGATTTAACGGGTGAGAGATTTAGCTAACTAAATATATGGCTATATGCATTGTAGGTAAACAGAACGTAATTATACTGCAATTTTAGACATAATCTCTCGATCTCTCTCTGGGGAAGCTTTGTTGCAATATTGAAAAATCCTTATCTCTACAGACAACAATTCTTAGGAAAATTAATTACCACACAAGTTTGTTTATACAACTGAACAACTCTAGCGCATTGTTGGCGCGGCAAAAAACAAAGGGCGGAACTCCTGTACATACCTTTATTCCTTGTCCCTGTGTCAAATTGAAAATTATCAATTCTCATTGTAAAAACTAGTAAGCCTTAGAACAGTAACAAAAGAAATATTTCTAGGATAACATTACTAGATATTCGTTGTTTTTAAATGGTCATTATGGCATATAAGCCTGTTGAGTGGTCTGCCTGCATATTTGGTTAGATTAAAATGTAAAAACGCTCTAGCGACACTAACTATTGATTCGCATTTTTAGTAGTACGAGTCGCGGGACGAGGTGTCTCTCAGTAAAATTTTATACAGGATAAAATTTTATTACTAAAAGATAAAGACTTGTTTGATATTAGAAGAGAAGAAGTTGTTTCTTTCCTTTGTTATTTGATAGATACGTACGTCAAAGTTTACTACTTATAATTTTTTTTCCTGATTTATTCAAGTATTGTGATTATTTGCAAAAAAAAAAACACACAAAACTGCTAATCTCGCGATCTTGCTTGAGCCCCAATCTCGCGAGATTTGCATTCCCTACTTGAGATCTTTGAATGTTTTCCTCTTTTGCATAAATTTATCATGACGAACGCCTTAGACGTGGCATCCAATATAAGGGCTGAAATTGTTATTCATCTCTCACAGCTCTCCGACGAACTGAAAAGGTATTTTCCAGATATTGATAATACCAGAGATGGCTGGATTCGTAACCCATTTGTAGTCACGAACGAGAGTATAAATTCTAGTTCAAGTATTAAGCAACAGGAGTCATTATTAGAAATTTCCGTAGATGAAACTCTTCAAACTGATTTAAAAAAGATGGCTTTGATAGATTTTTGGGCAGCTAGACAGGAAGTGTATCGCAAACTCTCACGTAAGGCGGTGAATTTCCTTTTACCCTTTGCTGCAACATACTTATGTGGGTTTTCACACTTGGTCATGATAAAAACGAAATACAAAAATCGACTTGATACCAAGTCAGAATTAAGGTTAAAACTGTCCAAAATTACACCTAAAATTGACTCAATTTGCGATAAGAAACAAGCCCACCCATCACATTTATATTAGGTCCTTACATATGGAGTTAGCGTTTTGTCGTACTGATCACTTTGATCTGAAATATCTCCTCTTTGGTAAATTTAAATTTATAAATTCATTTAGCTGGTACATTTGAGTTTTGAAAACAGTCATTCATTTGTTTTTTATCATTATTTTTTTCTTTGGCGTCGCTTATTACCGCACAATGGAAAACATGAAATATCGGTATATTTATGAGTACGAGTTCTACCGTGGGACCAGTGCTGCAGAAACAGCTTGAAGGATTTATGATGTGTACGGCGCTGGTGTCGCAAAAGAAAGCACGGTACATTTTTGGTTTCAACGTTTTCGTTCTGAAAATTTCGACCTTCAGAACCAACCCCGTGGACGGCCGGAGACCAAAGAATTGGAAAATGAAGAATTAAAGGCTATTGTGGAAGTGGATCCATCACAAAGCACTTGACCTCATGAATTGAGAGAATCGAACTTGCAAACACGCGTCGACTGCTGTGTTACTTTGCTCAACCGACACAATAATGAAGGGATTTTAAATCGAATCATTACTTGTGATGAAAAGTGGATACTGTACGATAATCGGAAGAGCTCGTCGCAATGGCTGAACCATGGAGACCCACCCAAATCCTGTCCTAAACGAAAATCGTCAAATTGGTGTCGTTCACTACAGCTTTCTATAATCTGGCCAAACGATTACGGCTGATATCTATTGTCAGTAAACAAGTAACAAACCATAAAGGAAGAACTAGCTGCTAAATAACCGAGATTGGTCAATTGCACTAGGCCACTGCTGCTTCACGACAACGCAAGACCACACACTGCACAACAAACAACAACTAAGTTAGATGAGCTACAATTGGAATGTCTGCGACATTTTTTTTAGGAATTTGGACAACTTCTTACAAGGAAAAATTTTCAACTCCGATGCGGCAGTCCACACTGCCTTCAAAGAGTTTATTGATTCTCGCCCTCATGGTTTTTTTAGTAAAAGGATCAATTAACTACCCATGAGATGGCAAAAGTGCATAGATAACAACGGTGCATACTTTGATTAATTAAATATATTTTACAAAAAAAAAAATACTTTATACTCCACCCGTACAAAACGCCAATTTAATATGTAAGGACCTAATAATAAAAAGAAATTTCTTTTGGTACTGTATTTGTCTTTCGGGTGGGGGGGTTTACTTAAGGGGTTCGCTGTCATCTGGAAACTTTAACAGGGGTTCGTGGAGCCAAAACTTTGGACCTTTGGCACAAACGATGGAATTGCACCTGGGTGTTTCAGTTACCTCAGTGGCAACAACGAGAAGGATATATATGCCATGGGGATCTACATGACTGTTGCGCTCGCTCCCATGACCATACATGCACGCCCTCCGGACAGGAGAGCGCAGATCGGCTCCTGGCGATCATAGCCAGTCGGAGCACACCCAAACCTCCGCCCTAAATGTAGGATAACATTGTCTGTAATCAGCTTTAGAGTCATATTCTCTAACTATTGTAGTATTTGCAAACTTGAGATTACATATGCTTATTAGATTGGAATTTGACTTCAAATGTTTTTTTTTCGTATGTCTCAAAAATATTTTCACGAGTTTTCGTCATGACAACATTTTGGATCTAGCGAATAGCTAGATATTTTAGTGTCAACCTGGTTTTTAACGCATTTTTATTTTTAAATCATCGTATCGTAAAGATGAGATTTTGAAACATATTTTTGTGACTGTTCACTCCAATACTGACTCAAACAATTGTATTCATCATCAGCTGGAAACCGAGACTTCTCGATACCTCAAACTTTCGATATTTCAGGCTTGGTCATTCCTACAATTTTTAAGAATTCGCTATCACTCATTAAAGGTTTTATTTGGATTTTTTTTAATTTAGGAATCCTACTCCTAATTATATCTTCGTTTCTCTTCCTGCTCGCTTCAGCCTTTTGTTTTTTAATATTGTATTCAATTTATAATTCTGCATTCACGTAAGTACCTACTATTTGCCTACTATCTGCCGTGATTATCGTGAATTCGAATTCTGCCTGGAACCTGTATCAGTAGTAACTTTTGTGACTGTTATGAAGCATGATTTTTGTTTAAGATTTTGTTCGTGTTTTTCATGCAATAATTAGGTATATTCATTCAGGGTTTCCACACGTAAAAAAAAGTATATTCATACAAAATAAATAATCTTAATAAATAAACAAGTGTCGAGTTCTGTGATTGGATATTTGCATTTCTGTTATCTGCTTACCTCTTTCGCGTATTATCTTATTTTTATTGAAAAAAAAAATGAATGAAGCAGTCAAAGGTGCAGTTCGGAACAATAATATATTGCCTATAACCGGTTTCCATAATACAATGCTTGAATTGTAATGGCTTATTATTTACAAGATATATATATTTACTTAAATAAGAAAGAAAAGGTCTCTCACTAAGTACTGCAGTTGAATCACGGTAAAAAAAATAGTGACGCATAGTCAGGGGGCGGGGCTTGCTGTGTCCCTTGCCAGGTAAAATTATTATAGCGCTATCTCTTTCTTTTGAAAGTCGAGGAATAAGAATCCTTGGCTAACAGTGCGAGTCGTGTTCCGTCTGTCGTGACAAGGCCACATTTTCTTTCTATATCCCTGTGAATAATCGGATGTTGTGATCGTTTAATTTAAGTATTACTACTAACTTAACCGTGCAGTTAGAACTGTTTGGTGGTTAAATATGGAGTGTTATCATTTAAACGGTAAGTTAAAGTTTGTTTAAATTTTGACTAAATTCATGGCTTTATAATTTATTTTGAGTTTAGCAGTTGTAAATACATTTAGTGTATTTATTTGACGTTGACATAATTCATTTAATTTCATTACTGACGTCCTTCGGAATCTATTATTTAGTTTTATTCAGTTTTTATTGTACATTTCGATAATATTCTATTAAATGAAAGGTGAGTTAGTAGTAATCTAAGTGTCACTACTAACTCAACCGTGCAGATAAAACTATTTTCTGTTTGAATATGGATTCTCATCCTTCGTTTTGTAAGTTCGGAGTTCGTTTCAATGTTTACTAAACACATAGCTATAATAGTAATTTTTTGATTTATTAATTATACCTAACCTTTTAAGTTTATATACCGCTTTAGCAGTTATCATTTAGCATTTAAGACCCATTTTAATGACAATGTATCTGTTTAACTACGTGCCTATAACACATGTATCGACATTTTTGCCATTGTCACAAAAATGTTGTTTCTCTTTTATTTCCAGACATGCAGTCACCAGTCTTAATTTTGACTGACCACCAACATGTGCTAAATCTTGATGACGAATATTTGGACATATTCATTACCGAGTCTGATCTTGAACTTTTACCTAACAAAGAAGATTTAAAAAGATGTGTGCTTAAGGGTACAACGGATACAACATCAAGCGATTACATACTTAGCCTTTTGACTGATGAAGAGCTAAACAACTTCATATTGTATAAGTATTGCAACATTGAGAGAAGGAAAACCTCTCTTTGGTAGTAGGCCAAAACCTCCTTTGTAAGGAGAGGCCTATGTCCAGCAGTGGACTAGTAAAGGCAAACAATTGAATTCGATGACTTTGTGAACATAGAGTCGTACAAATATGCTGCGATTCCTGTTTTGGAGGCTGACGATTTAAATTCATTATTAGAACAATTTAAAGCCATACCTGTAGTAAAAGAGCCAACAATTAAGTTAGATAATCATGTGAAGAAAAAATCCCGCAAAGATGCTGAGATTTCTGTTTTAGAGGCTGATGATTTAAATTCATTACTAGAACTATTTGAAGCCATACCTGTAGTAAAAGAGCCAACAACTAAGTTAGATAACCTTATGAAGATAGAGTCGCGCAAAGATGCTAAGATTTCTGTTTTGCACTCTAAATATTTAAATTCATTTATAAAAAAAATCAAGCCAACGAAAAATCAAGACTGAGAAACGATCGGAAGCGGTCGTCAATGTTTAAGATACTCGTAGTAAAGAAAACATACCTAACCATGACCACAGCTCGCATGAACAGCGGCACAGTGATCTGAAGAAAGGGCATAGCTTATTAAAACCCGAAGTGTTATCCAGTGACAACAAAATATTAAATTCTAGATATAGGTCGTGTAAAAGCAAAACAGTTGTTTACCAAGACGGTAGTGACGAAGAAACTGGGGCAAAAGTAACAAAAATAAAAATAATAAAAGTTAATAGGTGTGACCAGGTAGACTTTAGTAAAAAGACTATTGCACAGTCGGAATGCTGTGAAAAACTTTCATATCGTCAAACTGATAGAGTTAAGAATAAAATTCTTGATCTAATTTAAAAAAAAAGAAGAGCGATTCTAAGTGACTCAAGTGTTTGTAAAGCGAGTGATAATTGTAATCATAATTGTAAAGGTACCTCTAAAATGATAATTAGGAACCAATCTGAAGTTATACTAAAGTGTTACTCTCAGAAAGAAAATAAGAAAACACTGCAGATACCTAAAGCATTGGAAACAAAAAATGACACACCGAAACCTATGGAACCCAAAACCGAGAAAAGACATTTCGACTATGAACTTAACCAATAGATGGAAAGAGCAACAATAAAGACACTACCTCCGGCAAAAAAAGGGAACTCAATCTCCAGGAGTATAACTTAAGAAGAGATGTTCCTTCCAATACTAGATCTGTGCAAATAAGTTCCGAGGCGATATTTCCTGACATGCTAAGTCCTGGTCTAGACAAAGCTGAGAAGTGTGTCCACACAAACAGCGTCTCACGAATTATTGAACCAATTTGAAGGGCTGAAAAGCCAGCAAAAATTCATTGATCCAATTAAGAAGGTTTCTAGTGTTTTTTATGAGTTTTAAAAAACAAAAGGCTGAAGTGAACAGGAAGAGAGACGAAGATATAATTAGGAGTAGGATACTTAAAGGACATCATTCAAAATGTACCTATTTAAAAAAAAGTGCCGCCAGTAAAAAAATCTGTGTCATCTTACGGCAAATGATCTTTTAAACATTTTTTATTATTACAAGGAACGTCTACGACCAACTTTTAGACCCAAAATGGATCTCCGAAAATCATAAAATGAGCATTTACATTTATGTATCAATTAACTATTTCTGAATAATTAAAAACCTAAACAACGCAAGACCATCGAAATGAGCATGTTACAACCTGTATCGAAAGGATCGGCCAATGGGATCGGCCGTGTACTCTGTCTCTTTCCCTCCGGTTACAGTTATCAGTAGCTTGTCTCTTTCTCTCTCGTTATTGTTACCTGCTAAGTTCTATTTTGTTTAGGACCATTCTTGTAAGTTAAGCAGTTTAGTTATCCATGCGACTTTAGTTACATCGGACGGCTACTTATTTGTTTTGCGAATAGTGTGTTTTAACATACCTAATAATGGCGCAAAGACTGTGTACAAGGTGTCGTGAATCTGTGGAGAATCGACGGAGCTACACTTGGATTTCTCGAGAAGAGAATCATATTGAAATAGCCCAGATTATTATTCAAGAGCTACTAGATCAGCAGGTACGCGTCAAAAATGTTTTATTTTTTAAAATACATACATTTCACTAATTCAGTTGAACTAGCCGCCTCTATCTCATATTTTTAACTATTGATGTAACGGTTTGATAATATAATTATTAATGTTTTTACTTTTCAGGGCGATGCCTACGGATTTCATTTGCCAACCTTGCTGGCAACGAGCGGAGAGAACGTACCAGAGATTCTTACGAGAAGAAGATCATGCTGAGAACGTCGAAGATAATTTAGAAGCAGATGCAGTTGACGATCAATCTTCTACCTCTCAGCCCTCGCTAATGACTTTACCTGGATATGTACGTAGTCCAGATACAAGATGAACTTGCGTTTTTCAACATTGTGAAAATAGTACTAGGCATCGAATCCCTGATAGCATTGTACTGAGAATGCTTAGCCAGTACAATTTATTATTATCAGAAAACAGCCGTGTTTGTGGTGAACATTTGCAACAAGATTTATGGCATCTGCTTGCTGTACAACAAAATAATATTGCCGCATTTACAGCGAACCATATAGGACAGGTCTTACACATACTCAGTTTGCTGACTTGCTATCTATAACAATCTGCCTAGATAATAATAATAATCAAAAAAATATATTAGCAGCAGTACTAGTGAAACTCAGAACTGGAGATTCTAACGCTCGATTAGCATCGATATTTAGAACAAGTGAATCCACTTTTGCGCGTATGTTAAAAACTGGCCGTGTGGCATTGATAGAAGATTTAGTCCCGCTGCACCAGGGTTTGATCATCTAACGTGAGAGGATGTAGCACAGAGAAACCTCACATTACTAGAAGCATTTTTTGGAAATCCCGATAGCCCTCTATCTGAACGAAAGGCAATCGCAATTTGTGATGGTACCTATATACTACTCTGTGTAAGAAGTATCGGGAATATGTCAATAAAAAGACCCGCGTAAAAGAGGTCGTTCTAATTTTTTTGGTAGCACTGTACTGATTAAGCGCGCAAAATTTGAGCGGGATTTGTCATTTAATTTGTTTTAAACTACACTTTTTGTTGGTGATAGTTTTGAGTCCTCTCCGATTTTTACAATGGAAAATATTGTTGAACAAAGAGTGTGCCTTAAATTTTGTGTTTCGAATGATATTTCTTGTGGTGAATCACTAAAAATATTGCGAAATACCTACGGCGAATCGTGTATATCGAAAACAAGGGCTTATGAATGGTATAAGGCTTTTAAAGAAGGCCGAGAAGTAGTAGTAGACTTGCCTCGTTCTGGTAGACCTTAAACCGCTACGACCAAAGAAAACATCGACAGAATCAAGAAGCTAGTGCTCGAAAATCGACGTATGAGACTGAGAGAGTTGGCTAGTGAGGTGAACATATCTTTTAAGTCCGTCCACAACATTCTCAACATGACAATTTTGGCATGAAACGCGTCGCCGCTCGACTAGTTCCAAAAGAGCTTAATTTTGTTCAAAAAGCGCAGCGAAAGCATGTCGCTGAAGACATTGTTTCCCGAGCTTTTACGGATCCGACCTTTATGAAACGTATAATAACTGGCGACGAGACATGGGCTTATGAGTACGACATGCAAACAAGCCAACAGTCTTCAGAATGGCGTCTCGAAAACGAGCCGAAACCAAAAAAACCGCGGCAAAGTCGCTCCAAAATCAAGGTGATGCTGACAGTTTTTTTGACCACCGTGGTGTGGTTCACTCCGAATTCCTTCCAGAGGGAGAAACAGTGAATAAAGAACATTATTTAGGCGTCATGAAGCGTTTGCGTGAGAGTATCCGCCGAAAACGTCCAGATTTGTGGCAACACAACTCATGGATGCTGCACCATGATAATGCACCATCACACACAGCCATTACAGTGAAAGAGTTTTTCTCGACCAAGCACCGTATTCACCTGATATGGCTCCGTCTGACTTTTTTTTATTTCCCAAGTTAAAATTACCACTTCGAGGAAAACGTTTTGAGTCGATAGAAGCCATAAAAGAAAATTCGCTGAATGAGCTAAAGGCCATACCGCAAATAGCCTATGAAAAATGTATGGAAGACTGGGTGAAGCGGTGGAGATATTGTATTGCAAGCGATGGGGCCTGCTTTGAAGGCGATAAAATAAATTTAGATGAATAATTTGTATTTTTTGTTTTATTAACAAATTCCCGATACTTAGTACACAGAATATATCTGCAAAAAAGTAGTACTTACTTTTTTCAGAGAAAGTCATACAGCCCCCATAAATTCCGCAACTTATTAAAATCTTTTTCGATAGTCTGTTGTGATGGACACATTATTGACGTATCTGGACCTCATGCTGCTACCACATCCGATGTCCAAGTTATGAACGACATTATTACTAATGAAACTGACAACGGCGATGGTGTTTTTAATTGTTTTTTTAGACAATGTGATGTATTTATTTTGGATCGCGGCTTCGGAGATGCCATATCACCAATTTAGTCACTGGGATATTCTGCACATATGCCTGAAGCCAAGCTCCGAAATGAAACCCAACTGACAACGATGCAAGCAAATAAAACTCGAATTGTAACTATCTGTCGGTGGGTTGTGGAGGTAGTTAACGGGCGTTTCAAATGGGATTTTAGATTTTTGAGACATGTCAATATAAATCGTGCTCTTCCTCACATGTTTGATTGTTTTAAGATAGCGGCTGCTATAATTAATGCATACCATATATCTACTAATAAATGACAATATTCATGCCCAATCCTTTTTGGCCATAATAAACCATAGAATGTCAGTCCCTAACACGCTGGCTGATATAGTTGTAAGGCATAATTATAATAGAAGACGAGCACAATTTCAGCCGATATCCGCCGATATGCCAGAGTTCGATGATTTTCCAAGACTCTCAGAAGAGGATTTAAAATTATTTAGTTTGGATATTTATCAAATAAAACAAGCTAAAAGCTGTTACGGCGAGCACATCAATCCAAATGGTGTTTTTACGGTCGAGCTTGGCGACAGACTTTTAACAGAACACGTCAGAGAATTGGGAGAAAACATAATAATTATAAGAGGAAGAGTACAATCTCGGCATGTTCGGGCCAGAGTGTATTATGTTTACATTGGCATCGACACATCATTGAGTGGCCGTGATGCCATACCGTATTATTATTGCTCATGCAATGTTGGCAAAAGAACGGTGGGCTGCTGTTCCCATGCTATGTGCATAGTGTGGTACATGACGTTCGCGAGGCACTAACAACCTCCCATAAATCCACCTGCATAAGGTTTAGAAAATGTTATCGTAAGACCTGCGGAATTATAACATATGAATAAAGCCACGTAGGTAACGAAATAAAGTCTTTTTCTTTACATATATTTTATAACACTAATACCTACTCATAAATACCTACGTCGGTACTTAGGTACCTAATGATGATTGTATATAATTAGGCTTTTTGTCATATTATATTATTATTAAGCGAGATTAAGTTATTCTTTATCATCATTATTTGATTTTTGCTATAGTAATGAAGTAAAAATTGTTCAGACGAACTCGTATTAATGCATTTTTTTTATTATTTCTAAGTCGTATAACTCATAAGTAATCGGTCTTAGCTCTTAGCCGTCTAAAGAAAAAAATCTTAGAATGTCATTCTCTAACCGATAAAACCATTTTTTTTCGTTGGCCGGCACTTTTTTTGGGGGACTTTTTGTACTGAGCGTGAATGTCCTTTAAAAATTTACAAATAAAACCTTTAAAGAGAGATAATGAATTCTTAAAAATTTTAGGAATGACAAAGTCTGAAGTATCGAAAGTTTGAGGTATCGAGAAGGCTCGGTTTCCAGCTGATGATGAATACAATTTTTTGAGTCAGTATTGTAGTGAGCACTCTCGAAAATATGTTTCAAAATCTCATCTTTAAGATACGATGATTAAAAAATAAACAAGAAATGCTATAGAGACATTGCACTGACGTTAAAATGCGTTACAAAGCAAGTTGCCTTTAAAATATCTAGCAACTGGCTATTCGCTAGGTTCAAGACGTTGTCATGAAGAAAACCGGTGAAAATATTTCCGAGACATACGATAACGGACATTTAAAGTTACATTCCAATCTAATAAACATATGTAAGCTCAAGTTTGTTTGTTTCTCTTACTACAATAGTAAGAGAATATAACTCTAAACCTGATCACAGACAACAATAAGGCAATGTTATCGTACATTTAGGCACGCCCAGAAACAGATTAAAAACAGCAAACAGACCCAATATCAGAGTTTACAACACTAGCAGCCCGTAGCCTATTCAAAGAATTAGCTTTTACTAGAATACATAACGACAGCGATATGCCTCTATTATAAGGGCGGGTTTGGGTGTGCTCCGACTGGCTATGATCACCAGAAGCGGATCCAAAACCTGTTGCGCTATCCTGTCCGGAGGACGGTCTCAGCGTATGATCATGGGAGCGAGCTCAACAGTCGTGTAGATCCCCATGGCAAGTCCGGGTGTTATCCTTCTGGTGGTCGCCGCCTGTTTTGATCTGGTCCCCTACGAAACAGAGATAACTGAAACACCCAGGCGCAATTCAATCCCAATAAACCAATCCTTTCCCATTAATCCTATCTATACCTTCTGCGGGCAACGTGGTTGATACCTGCGGCCTTGCCATCAACACAGAAAGGTTGAGGGGCTTTGAAGAGGCGGGAAGGAGGGTAGTGGGCTCTGACTGCCGCACACGGACTCAAAAATGGTCCTTTAAGCGTGGAGGAAATATTGGCTAGGTGAGCCAACTCCACACTCGCAGTGGTGAGGTGATAAGGTTTCTGGAATAGAACTCGGTCAATAACTCACTTTCCAAGTATCGGCGAAACACGAGACAGAGTTGGAGGCGATCGCCTATCTTATTCAACAAGGCTCTCGGACACATTATCCGAAAAGTTATATCAAAAGGTAGCGGAGACGAGTTAAATTGAAGGCACACACGATAAATATTTCTTAACAAAGGTTGAAGACTTCAAACAATACATACAAAGAGCACTAAGAATTTCTTATGAGAATAATAACTCTTTAAACCAAAAAACCTAGCAGCAATCGTGGTTTATTTTCTCTGTTTTTCGAAGAGTTTCGAGGCGGACGTCTCCGAAACTTATCATTATATATATATATATATGTATATGGAATTTCAATTGGTACCATTTCTGATTAAACCCTTTAGAAACGAAAAAATAATTTTACAAATCCGTCTGTAAATTGTAACTAGGTAAGTC